CACTGACCACCCACCACACTGACCACCCACCACACTGACCACCCACCACACTGACCACCTACCCACACTGACCACCCACCACCCCACTGACCACCCACCATCCACAATGATGACTGGGAGCAAACAGCCCACAGCCTGGTCTAAGCTCTGCCATCGTCCGGATGGACAGCATCCTGGGGACCCAGGAGAGAGAGGGGGAGGTGGGAGCGGGGCTCAGGGCGCCTCCATCAGCATCTGGAAAGCAGGGCATCTCTTCTTGGACTGGTGGGCAGAGCCCCTGGGAGAGAGGGCTGGCATGGCAGGACTCTGGGCTCACTGCTGTCCCTGCTGACCGGTGAGGCAGGACAGGGAGACCATGGGACCAGCAGTGCCAGCTCGTCGTGGCTGATCCCCTTGTGGGGTAACCTGGGCAGTTTAGCCCAGAGACAATGTGAGTTTGTGGGCACCACAGGGCCCACTCCGGTCTGAGAGGTAGGACCGTATGGCGAGGAGGGTGGCCCTGGCCTCAGTGTCCAGGGAGGAGGTTAAACTGGGTCCATGCGCTCCCCCTGGTGCATCCGGACTCCCAGGGAGCGTTAACATCTCTGGAGGCAAAGCAAATTCTGAGGGCAGAACCCCAGGCCATGGGGGTGACCATCGCTCCCACCTCCCTCCTCACAGGAGGCCATGCCCATGTGGCTCTCCCGCCCCAACCCCCCGCAGGGCCCCCTCGGCTGTCAGACAGGCCACAGTGGGGGAAGCAAGGGCTTCACGCACCTAGATCACACAGGTGACGGGAGCCGGGTCATGATGACCTCGGTTCGTCCAGACAGTTATTACGACAAAAACCCCAACCATGAAAATAACTTACTCACAGTCATTGACACCCCACACTTGTAATTTATTTGCTTGGTCACCGTGTCTGTCTCCCACTGACCTTCTCCCGCCCTCGACGGACTGAACCACACCAGACAGTCGGCTGCTCCTGGAGGGACCCCGCGCCTCACCTGTCGCCCAGGGAGGGTCTCTCAGCAAAGGGCAGGCTGAGGACTCCGGGGCTCCCGTGTCAGGGGGCAGGCGTCTGTGATTCCCCAGAGACCTCCGACCTCCACGCGACGGCTTTCTGCACACGCTGCCCCGGGCCTTCCCGTCCACATACAGGCTGCCAGCCCGTCACCAGAAGCCTGAGGTCGTCCTCAGAAAGCCTCCCAGCCCCTCACTACAAGCAGGACAGGGAGGCAGACACCGTGCAGCGGGAGGGGCGGGTGGGGGAGGGTCAGCCCCCCCAGGCACAGCTGTGCAGTTCACAGGGATGAGGCGGGATCTGTTTAAAATGCATTTCTTCTACTTAAGATTATTCAATGTTCATTTTTCCAAATGGAATTTTATATGCCTCACTTTTAAAAAATTCAAACCAGGCCCGGCTGGTG